TACAGTATATATATATATAATTATGCATGCTCATTTCTCCTATTTTTACATTTATATTACCACTTTCATCATCTAACGCTTAATCTTTAAAAAGGCTAATAATTTAATAACACTAATCTCTGTTTTACATACTGTACATTGAAATGTTGTGATGCCTAAATTCACTTGTAGCGTTTAAATTGTATTTATTTATTTAATTGATTGATTGATTTACAAAATAGAAAAAGAATTTTAATATTGGCCATAAGATGATGATAATTTATGTATAAATATAAAAATAGGTTATCCCTACTAGGTGCATCCCTGCATTTTTTACTGTAAAGATATGGCTTTACACCAAAATTATGATGAAACTGATCCAAACTAATACTAAAATTACTATCATGAACCCAAATGTGCTTACCTCAGTTTCCCTGCCCATTCAGTGATATCTTAAATACTTGACAATGTGTTTAAATAACAAAGCCCATTTGTCCTGGGATTTTGGATTAGCCTTTTTAGAGTCTGGCATGGAGACAATTGCAGGGATCAGCGGGCTCTATTAATTCCTATTCTGTGTTCTTTTATCACAAAAAGGGTGATAAGGTTTTAATTCTTCTGTGTCTGACAATATGGGCCTAATGGTTTTAATCTCAAATTGAATTAAACTTGAACTTTTCATATGTTTACAACACACCAAAATACATTTCTATTAAATATTTAGGAGACTGTTATGTACTGAACTACAGAATGGCCCGATGACTTAATCCTTTTGCAACCGGTCAATTCTGTGGCTAGGCACTTAATTTTTAGTGTCTAAAAATGAATTAGCTATCTGACAGCTCTTCATCCTGCTGGCACACCCAATTGCCCTCTAAATAGCAAGCAAAATGTCTTTCCTTTCCGGTTTTGCCTTTCTCCATTTCTCCCTAATCTGTGACAGATTAATCAGAGGGATTGAAGAGTGCATGCTGGGTAGGGTGTCCCCCTTGAGCACACGATATCTGTACTGTCTACCTCATCATGCATGATTGAGTACAGAGCCAAAATCTGATCACAGAAGCATATAATCAGAGATTACTTATGCTTTTAGTTTACATGTCTGTCACTTTATTGAAATTAGTACCGGTATGTTTTTTTTCATGCTTTGGATTGATGTCGTTATCTAGAATGCAAGAGTTTCCTAAAATAGTTTTATATAAAAATAATGCCTTATATAAACTGTCTCTTATGTGACAGTTTGTTCACATAACAAACTGAACTGTGCACTGAATACCTCTCCTTTTGTTCTTTCCTGTAGGTTATTACTCTGGAGGGCTGGGTGGACATCATGTACTTTGTTATGGATGCTCACTCCTTCTACAATTTCATCTACTTCATCCTCCTGATAATAGTGAGTGGCTTTGGGCTGAGCTGGGCAGACCTGGACACGTTTATGAGAGCATTACCTGAACCGTCACCGACCAGACAGACTGCCTTATACTGGCTCTGATGTGTCAGACAGGCTTAGACAGCTCACAAGACAAAGACAAGAGAATCATATTTTAAATATTTTTGAAATGACCATGTTTTTTAAAAAACAGTTGTAGTTGCAATGTCAATAACATACTGTGAATCATGTTTTGTTTAGCCTAGGAAATGGATTATTGTCAAGATGTTTTAAATCTGTCCAGGAGATGCATTTCCTAAAGGGATAGTTTTTAAAGGGATAGTTCAGCCAAATTTCTGTCATAGTTGACAGACGTAAACTTCATTGTCACACAGATTCATATATAATGTTGGATATACAGTATATCATATCCAACTTTATCCGTATATGTACAGTATACTCATGTGAAGTGATATATACTTTATAGCAAATCTCAACTGCTTGACTTTTATTTCGTTGCAGAATATAACTATATTATCACCCAGCTCTTTATATAAAGTTGTATAAGCATGTGTATTTACAGCATGTCTCAAAGGCTTGATTGCTTATATCGCTGAAAATGTAAGCTACTGTATATTATTATACCCAGCTCTAATCTGCTAAATTTGACTATAAATCATGAAGATATTGAAATATTATAAACATCGACATCATGACTTTCTGTAAAGCTGCTTTGAAACAATGTCTATTGTGAAAATCACTATACAAGTAAATTTGACTTAAAGGGTTAGTTGACCCAAAAATGAAAATTAGCCCATGAAGTACTCACCCTCAAGGCATCCTAGGTGTATATGACTTTCTTCTTTCAGACGAATCCAATCGGAGTTATATTAAAAATTGTCTTTGCTCTTCCAAGCTGTTTAATGGCACTCAGTCGGGTGTTGCAGTGCATCAATCCAAAATAAGTTAAATAAAGCGCATCCATTCATAATAAAAAGTGTCTCACACAGCTCCGGGGGGTGAACAAACATTTTGCTTCATTTGCTCCTGTTAACAAACGTTGGCTGCGCAACGCCGACATCTTACGTGTACTTCTTACTTTTGAGCTAATTTGCTACATACGTCATCCTCCCGGAGCTGCTTCCGTGTACAACTGTTGGCGGTTAGATTAAAGTTAGATTAAGTTAGATTAAAGTGATTATTACATTTTGAATATAGATATTTTTCTTACAAAAACGCATCGATTCGCTACAGGAGGCCTTTGTTCACCCCCCGGAGCCATGTGAGACACTTTTTATTATGAATGGATGCACTTTATTTCACTTCTTTTGAACTGATGCACTGGAACACCCGCTGACTGCAATTAAACAGCTTGGAAGATCAAAGACAATTTTTAATATAACTCTGACTGGATTCGTCTGAAAGAAGAAAGTCATATACACCTAGGATGCCTTGAGGGTGAGTAATTCATGGGCTAATTTTCATTTTTGGGTGAACTAACCCTTTAAGTTGACTTGATTTACTCAATGTCATGTCTTTCAAAACCTGTATGACTTTCTTCTGTGGAACACAAAAGAAGATATTTTGAAGAATATTGGTAATCAAAAACTGTTCGACTTTCATTGTATGTACAAAAAAATAAAAAACAAACATTTCTCAAAATATTTTATTTTGTGTTACACAGAAGAAAGCAAGTCATACAGGTTTGGAATGATGTGATGGTGAGTAAATAATGACCGAATTTTCCCTTTAAATGTGGCATTGTTCTGAACTTCCAATCTGTTAATTTCAAATCCTATTAGTACAGAATATAACCATCGATTGTATGCTTGCTATTTTTATCATGCCATCTTTTCTTGTTGTTACAGTAACAATGTTATTAATGAGCAGTGAAGCTCTCTCTGTTCATGGTCTACTCCACTCCCTCCACTGTTTTTCAGGTGGGCTCATTCTTCATGATCAACCTTTGTCTAGTTGTCATAGCGACACAGTTCTCTGAGACCAAGCAACGGGAGAGTCAGCTTATGAAGGAGCAGAGAGTGCGCTCCAGGTCCAATGCCAGCACCCTGAATAGCTTCTCTGAGCCAGGAAGCTGCTACGACGAGCTCCTCAAGTACCTAGTTCACATCATCCGCAAAGGCACCAGGCAAATCGGCCACCTCATCCGGGCTGCCGGGCGCCGTGCAGGCCTGCGGATCTGTGCTTCTCCGCCGCTGGAACCACCGCCCACGAAAAGACGGCATCAGAAGCAGCGCCAGGGATCCATCCGTCCCGTCATGCACCATCATCATCACCTCCACCATCACTACCATCTGGGCAATGGGAGTGTCCGAACCGACGGGGGCAGAGAGGGGGACAACCAGAGTTCCCAAAGTGCCAATGCCAACAACTCTGGGCATCTCATGCTACCTGTCATTGTCCCTCAGCAGGAGCCCTTTTGTGGGTCTCTGGGCCCCAGTGGTGCAGAATCAGTGCATAGTGTTTATCAGACTGCGGGCCACCTTGAGCCTCTGCGCTGCAGCCCCTCACCTTCTCCCATGGTGTTTCAGGCATACAAGAGGAACTCAGTGCCATTTGCGGCTCCAGTACATAAGAACTACCCCACGTTACAGTCATCTCTGGCCTTAGAGCAGCTCAGACAGAGAATCCTGGAGCCAGGAGGCAGTTGCACTGCTAGTGTCCTTACCAACCTAAACATCCCCCCAACTCCCATCAACACCTCACAGTGCCTGGTGGAGACACAAGGTCCTCCTGGTAAATGGATTTTAAATGAATTACTTGAGCTGAAATTCAAAAATTCATGAAATTCAACAGCTGGATGTGTGAAACACAAGAGTTGAGAGTAGGGCTGGGCAGTATGAACAAAATGAGTAATTTTATATATTTTTATGTTGTGTTTTGTTCATACCATCACGGTTACACGATGCATTGCTAGAAATTCAACCCTGAAATATCTATTCGATAATTTAGATAGAGACTTGTATACTAATTAAGTGAAATGATTAGATTTTACGTTTTTTTCAGAACAAATGAATAAATGTATTACATTCTTAAAATATTAAAATAGATTAAAGCATTTTTTTATTTAAATAATTGAAATTTACTTTTAAAAATTGAAAAACTTTTCAATTGAAAAAAAAAATAGAAAAACTTTACAAACACACACTATTACTTACTCATACTTACTATTACAATACACCTTACAATTAAAATGGTAGTTTAAAAAAAAAAAAATGTATAGATAGATAAATAATTATTTTATTATATTTATTTTGTTATATTTATTTTATTTATATATACTGTGCGAACTGTACACTATAATAAAATACGTTTTGCTTTTGTAAAATTGTCATTTACTTTGACATAGTAGCGAATATTGGAAAACAAATTAAAAAAGAGACAGAAATAGACATTTGTCTATGCATCATGTGCTTTTTCTTATACATTTCAGGCAAGATCATCTTTAAGGATGCGCTCATGAATTGCAGTGGCACAAACTTAGACACAACTTTGACCTTTGACCCTGAGACATGTCCGTATTGCGCCAAAGCGATGGCCAACGACTCTGAGGGAGTGGATGGGAATGAGACGGCAGACTCTGACAGTGAGGGCGTGTATGAGTTCACACAGGATGCCCATTATCGGGACAGCAGAGATCCCAACAGGAAGAAGAAGCTGTTTGCATTAGGAGCTCGGGCAGCAAAGGTGGTCCATTTCTGGAGGCTGGTGTGCGACACGTTCCGTAAGATTGTGGATAGCAAGTACTTTGGACGAGGAATAATGATCGCCATTCTCATTAACACACTCAGCATGGGCATCGAGTACCATGAGCAGGTTAGTGCACGTCTCTATGCTGTTCTCACTGATTTGATATCTGCAAACCCTCATTTATAAGATAAAGTTATGTTTTTGCCTCAGAGTTAAAAAAAGAAAAAGAAAAAAAAGGTCATTTTAACTATATCTCTCACTTTATTTCCACATAATTGTGTCTTTATATCTCACAATGTGCTTTTATACCACAAAATTATTGCTCCTTTATTTCTAGTAATGATTATTTTTATATCTCACAATTGCGAATATTTCTCGTAATTGCAACTTTATATTATTTTCACAATTATGTATTTACTTGTAATTGTGCCTGTAAAATTGTGGCTTCAGACACTACTGTTCAAAAAGTTTGGGGTCAGTAAGATATATTTTTAAAAGGAATTAATGCTTTTATTAAACAATGATACATTTAATTGATCAAAAGTGACAGTTAAGACATTTAAATTAAAATGTTACAAAAGATTTCTATTTTAAGTAAATGCTGTTCTTTTGAACTTTCTAGAAGAATCTAGAAGTATCAACCGTTTTCACAAAAATATGAAGCAGTGTTAATTTAAAGTGTTAACTGTTTTCAACACTGATAAAAAGAAGTGCTTCTATACAATAGAAATCATCCAAGCCCTTTGCAGCAGTGTTAAGGAATGAAAGACTTTCCATATGCACCATGCTTTTGTTGTTTACCAATGTGTGGTAATTCGCCATACTAGAGAATGAGCACGAGTGTGAAGGCTGAACTGAACAGAGAGGGCAACTGGCACACATCTGAAATTCATTGCACTGTGTTTACACAGTCTGCTCGCATGCTTCACAGTCTTCCAGATCCTTTGGAGGGCACACACCGCAATTCATGCCCGCCTGCAACGACCCCCCTTGCTCGTGATTGAAGTCGTAACTCAGGGCTTTGAGGTGTACAACTAGGAAAATGATCAGTATTTTATGACACATTGTAACTTTGAAGGATGATGAATTCCTTGGAGTGAGAGTTTGAGTTTTGTATTTTTCTCAGAAAATGGTTGATTCTCAGACAAGAAAACAACATTCATCATCACTTACTCTGATTAGAATGATTTATTCTGGTGATTTGAGAGTAAATGTAAATGGGAACATCTGCTGGCAACCAGGAGCGAATATGTGGGCAATGTAAGAATTTTGGTCCTCGGCCTTGTGAACTCAAGCGGCCAAAAAGTGAATGTTTTATTAAACGCAGAGTTTGTACGATTTTTAAAAAAATATTATTGAAAGTCTCTTATGCTCATCAAGGCTGCATTTATTTGATCAAAAATACAGTAAAAACAGTAATATTGTGAAATATTACAACTTAAAATAACTGTTTTTATTGTAATATATTTTATATTTTCAGCAGCCATTACTCCAGTCTGCCATGCGATTTTTCAGAAATCATTCTAATATGCTGATTTGGTGCTGAAGAAATATGTTGTGTTTTTATTGATGTTGAAAACGGCTTAAACGGGTCATGAACTGCCTTTTTTATTATTTTGTACTGTTCTCTGTAGTCCACTTATAATGTTATCAAGATTTTTACAATACAAAACATAATTTAGAATTTAGACTTTTGAATGGTGATGTATATTTGGAGGTGTAAGTTTGGTGGACCTGTAACAAAATAAATATGCACACATACGTACACGGATGGCATTCCCCTCCCCCTCAGGACTTCAGCTTCTTTTGTCTCTCCTCTTGTTTTCTTCCCTGTAAACTCCTGGGGAATTTTGGCAGTGAACATTGTCTTTATGAAGCGGTCCATCTGGAGAATTGGAGACTGAGATAGAGCAAGAATTTGGATGCAGAAGGTCACTTGGGTTTTTTGATCCTTATAAAACATCCAATCTGGCTAATTGCATCTGTTCCTGTTTCACATTCCTGAAGCTTCTATTGCCCTTTGTCTTTCATAATTGTCTGAGCTCCTCTCTCCCAGTCACTGACATCCTGCATCACTTTTTAAACCCACTGTGGAATGAAGAAGCAGCTCTCGACTGCAACAATTCCAGCTTTGTTTATCGTTCCTGGGCTTGAAATGTTGCTAGTAGGGTTCAAAATATTATTTGATGTTGTGTTGTCCAGTTTTGGTATTCCATTGTGCGGCACAGATGGAAAAATCACACATTGCTGGATGAAGTTAAGATCAAGTGGAGTTTCACAGAGTGTAGCCAAAGGGGAATGTGTGAATGACTGAGTAAAACAGGCAGAAGAGGTTGCAGTACGTTGATCTGAGCAGTGTTCTGTGCGGCCTCCTTCAAGACTCTGCTCTGTGTTTCTTGGAGAGGAGACATGTTGATCGCTTGATCTTATGCATGAAAACCTTACAAAACCTGACCACATGGCTGCTATTTACAGAGCTGAAACGTGTGTTTTTTATTTAAGAGGTTAAATATAAATCCACAGGCACATCTCCATCTCTCATTCCATCAGTTATCATGTTCTACCTTTAGCCCAAGTTTTTCAAAAGCTCTTCAGCCCATTCGGTTTCTTTTATTTCTTGACTTTGTTGTTGTTTCCCTTCCATTTCGGACTATATATCTGTCAACTCTTTTAGCCAGAAAGGGATATTTGCTTCCATAGCTTTTAGGATTTTACTCAAAAAATTGCAACCAAACAACTAATGCTTGTGGACACTACTACTAGTACCATAGAAATGTTGGTAATTAAAAAAACAAACAAACAAACAAGCAAATCTTTTATGCTCACCAAGGCTGCATTTATTTTATTAAAATTACAGTAAATCTGTAATATTGTGAAATATTATTACAATTTTGGAAACATTTCTTATTTTTTTAAAGTTGAAAACAGTTATACTGTTTAATATTTTAGTATATTTTATTCTGTGATAAATTTTTGTCAGGATTATTTGATGGATAGAAAGTTAAAAAAAATAATGTTTATTTGAAATGGAAATTTTAAATTGAAATGTAAAAGTCTTTACTGTCACTTTTGATCAGTCTAATGCATCTTGCTGAATGAAAGTATCGTTTCTTAAAAAAAAAAAAAAAATCTTACTGACCCCAAACTTTTGAACAATATTGTAATATTTATGGATAAGTGTCTAGCTGCTATTGTTAAACAATGCAATGAATTCTATAGTCTTCCATATCCTTAACTGCTTTAGGAAACAATTAAAATTCTAATGCAGCTTATTATTAGCAAAGTTTTTCATTTCAGATCTGCCCAGACTGTTTGCAATTATGAGCAATTTTGCTGTATCATAGGCCAAATTAACTGCAGTTTATTTTTGCAAAATTCATATTCAAAATAAATTGATTTTATTTTTTTTCAACAATATGACTCTCCCTTCCATGAATATGAATTGATGTCTCAAGGTTATATAGCTTTTTCTTATTTTTTTGTTTTGGTTGTAAGTTTTAAATCTATTATTATTATTATTATTGAAATCCCATCTGTTTTTCAGTAGGCGTATCTTTGTAAAAGTGTTGTATTTGTTTGCACCAAAAAACAGTGTGTTTGATTGCCTTTGTTTGATTTGACCAACTCTATATCACGTCCAGTTCATATATATTTTGAGTTGGCTAATTCGTACGAATTTGTACGACCTCACTCGTACGCTTTTGTACAATTTCTGTGATGGTTAAGTTTAGGGGCGTGGTTAGGTGTGATCCTTGGTACAAATTCCTATGAGTTTGCCACCTCGTAAAATACGTAAGATTTTTTCACAAATCATATGAATTGGTACAAGTGAGGTTCTTACGAATTCTTACAAATTAGCCACCTTGTCAAATATGAATTGCCGTGTGATTGGGTTGGTTTTGACAGATTTTGAGGTGCTTTCAATTTTCAAATCAATTTATGATCTTTCAAAATCAGACATTTAAAACTGCTCAACCCCATGTTGTGGTCCAAGAGAAGCTATGCTTCATGTACCATGCTTATCTATACCCTGTTTTTCAGCTACAAGTATCTTGTTGACACATACTTGTAGGTGAACTTTTTTAAGCTCTTAATCTTGAAGTTATGAAGTCCTTTAAGCTTCCCATACTTCCCTGCAGACTGGCAGTGCAGGTTGTAGCAGTCTGGTTCGTGTGCTTGTGTAGAGAGGAGGATGTTACTGCTCAAATGGACACATCTCATCCCTCTAACCTGTACTATGAATTAATAAAGGACTTTGCCTTCAAATAAGAAGTTCAGATTTTCAGCATCAATTCCACACAATTCCAAGCCACTGTGCAGTACCCAATCCCAATATGCATCTCTGCTGGGAATCTCAGTCTGTCTTTCAACCTCTTACTCCCACTCTGCCCCTTTTCTGCTTCCTTTCCCTTCCTAATGTGCTATTGGGGCATAATGGTTATTGTTATTGTGGCTATGAAAGTTAATGAGTACCGAGGGTTGCTTGCTTTGTTTCAGGACTTGCCCTGGGACTTCACTCAGTCTTTGTAATGGCACTTAGGCCTTACAGTATTGCAGAAACAGCAATGATCTCCTATCCTCAGATAAGAGGATGTATTATGTGGGTGTTTGACTGCATGGGTTTACCCTAATATGAAAATGATCAATAAAATATCAATTTGTGTTATATGACTAATTTGTGTGAGGAACGAAATGTAAAGAATTATGAGCCCTTGGCACATATGCAGCTCCAACTTCCAATAGGCAATACATAATGGGGTCTTTAAAATGTCAATGTTTTCATCCACTGCACATCCACCTCAAGCATTTATTTGCTTTAGACGAGAACTTCTTACTAAGTGAATTTTTAGTACTAAGTTTAAACTGTTATGTGGTGAACCTTTTAGCTTGTCTACAAGCCATTTGAGCTGTAATGAGGTTACGTAATGAGAGGAAATGAAACCAGCTAGTTTATGCTACAATGAAACAATCTCAACTGCTCATCATGACCTTCAATTACTTCAAACTATTTCTTTTTTCGTTGGATGTAAAGCATGTACTCGTCATTGTTGGTAATGAGGGATCACATCTAATACTTGGAAAGTGACCACCACAGCCATGTTCTTTGCCAAGGGAACTTTTTTTTTTTTTTTTTTGAAGAAAACCACTTCTTTTCTGAATGTAAATAAATAAATACATAAATTAATAAATTGTGTATAATTTTAATAATTATAAAATTCTAATTTAATATTTTATTACAAATTATTTTATTAATATTGATATTATTATTTCAAATAAAATCTGAACTTTTGTGCAGAGGACTTTTGTTTTCCAGGTTTAAATACAATTCTGAATGTCATATTTTCAGAGTGGACCCCAGTGTATATATCCTAATGGCACAGTTCTTTGTTTATAGGAGCTGTATAATTAGGTAAAGAGACTCTGATATTGTGTTTGCCATGCGCTGGAATGAGCCGCAACTGATAACGGCATGCAGCTGCTGAGATATGGCCCATTAAGAGCAGTTAATCTGAAGAGAGTTCTGAAGTTCAGGTTTGTCTGAGCTCCCTGTCTGGATGCTTCTCATCAGCCCAGGAGGTTACATAGTATTTTTGACCCATTTAAGTAAAATAACCCATAGTAGGCTTACATGCTGGATCGTAATATACTTCGTTTTATACATGTTCCAGGCATAGAAACCTCTAACTGGAAATGTTTTGTAAAAAAAAAAAAACATTTTATCAAAGCATGTATGCAGAATTCACCATCAGTCTTCAGGCTCGGCGTTCCCAGAAAAACCACTCCTGCATAGATTTGTGTGTGGTGTACTCTTCCCACAAGTGGTCCTGATTTGAACCAAAGGGCCTTACCCAATGAAGAGGCCAAGTGCAAGCTCCTGCTGGGTAGACAGTGCCCAACCCTGGGCTGCTCTGATCCAAAAACAACTAAAAAAAACCTGTTGGCTTTCTTACCTCTGTGAAACACCTCGACAGCCACAAATAGCCCCACACTTCATCATCGTGCTCCACGAACCACTTCTCAATCTGATTAGATTACGTTTAATTCTATTAGCTAATATAGATGTTATTTTTCATTTCATGCACAGTATGTAATTGTATTTTTTCCTCATTACTTTGCGGAAACAATCATCTCGGTAAAACAATTACATATGTTTTTGTCATCATTTAAATCTCTGAAGTTCAGTGACCTGTTTAAATGTCTCTTAAAATCACTGTTAGTTTTCATAGGAAAATAGTTGCGTGCTTGGGGATGTTGTGTTTTGTTTTCAGGCGTTTAAGACTCTGTTCAACCCAGCTAGCCGTGATGTTTCAAGAATGTGTTATGCGTGCTGGGTCTCTTGCCCAGTCTCATTTTTACAATCGAAAAAACTGAAGAGAAATATGAACCGGCCCATATGTATCTCCTTTAATTCACCCGTGCCTCATAAAAAAACAAAACAAAAACAAAAAAAAACTCTCTTTCAGCATACCGAACTATCAACAACATAAATTACACCAGGGAATCTGCGGTTCTTTCTTTGTAGTTCACCTGTATCTGAGCTTTAAGTTCAGCCTGCAGTCGTTCAAGACAATACGCTTTAATTAAACAAAAGAACAGTGAGAAACTTGGTGTTTGTGATGTCAAAAAGTGAATCCCCACGTTAGTTTATCTAGCACAGTCTGCACCGCGAGCTATTAGGAAATATGAGGCCATGTGTTCTGTTTAATTAAATGAGAACGAAATATGACCTGGGTCCTTTGGAGTTGAGCAGATTCGTAGGTTTTTAGATCATATTTTTCTTATGTAACTTCTCAACTGAGATGGTTTGTGAGTCTGTGAATCAAATAATCATGCTGGCCAAGGAGATTGACACTTCTGTAGTTCTGTAGTCTGTAGCTGCTTTCAATGATCTATACAGATACATGCATTGAAACAAAATCTATTTTCTTTAATTTTAATGTCTTTGATCTGAGTGTTTTCCCCCCTTGCTTTATTTTAATTAGTAATTATTATTATTAACATTTCAGTGACCGTGTTTGCTTAATAATGTTTTAACTAGAGCCCGACCGATATATCGTTTTGCCGATATTATCGGCCGATATGAGCCTGTCGCCGATATGAAAATTTTTTTTACAGAACATATAATGCAGATAAAATGCTTGAAATGGTGTAACTTAGTTTGTCCAGCAGAGCGCGCTCCATTGTTTGCTACTGGCGACCTGGATGAAACGCTTTAAAGCTTAAGTCTATGGGAAACCATTGAAACTTTGAACAGCCATATCTCCCTAACGGCGCGGCGATTCCACACCAAATTCGGGGGATCCCTTCAGCTCGAGGAACCCTCTCGAACGCGAATCGAGTGTAGGTCTAGAGGCCCTCTTTCGAATGAGACCACCCCTGCGTCGATAGCCTGCGGGTTCGGGAGTTACGGGTGGTTAAATTCGCGGTCCGGCGCCGACCGATCTAGCGATCCCGGGGAGCTACCGACGCGCGGAGGGTGGCGTTCACATTAAACATTGACTGTCATTCTTCATTCACCTGTTTCTCATTGTTTCTCGTTAAAATTAATTAAAGTAATAGTGTAAATTACATTGCTAATTTCATAGAATAGCACATTGTAACGCAGTGTTACAATGTGCCCCATCTGCGCAACTGGAATTTAAAACTGGTTAGTGTCTTCTGTTCATTCATAATCATTAAAAAACGATCTGAACTGATAAATAACAGATTGGAGATTAAAATAATAGCAGATTTGTCTCATTTTAAATGA